AAGTATTATTTTTTTATTTATAGATTTATATTATTTTTATTTTCTTTATTTTTTTATCCTACCAACTTAATATTTTAATATTAGTATTATTTAGTAATATTATTAAACGGACGCAGTTGAACTAGTCGTTTGGCGCCTACAACATCAAAACAAACAGCCAACCAAGCAATCAAAAATAAAAAATCGAATCTAGCTAGTTTCCCGAAATATGATAATAGGTAGAGGGTGCGTAAGTAAAATTTAATTCAGACTAGAGTTGAGGTAAATCGGGGGCATGTTGGCGAGAAGCCATTAGCAAGTCCAAACTGCTTAGCTTGAAGGCTTGAAGGCAACCACAGCAGCCTGCAAGGCTCTCTTCCTAGATAAACATGCGATCCCGGCATTATCCTCACTATTGCTCTATATTCCTCTGTGCTCTACAATATTATCCTCATTATTCCACAAACGTTTCGTTGTGCTCTGCATTTTTCAAAACGACAAAAACTACAAACGAATCTCCTTTGATGGAATTCTTAAAATTGGCAATTAAAAACAAAATAATATTTAGACTTGTAATCGTTAAAGACCCATATTGAAAGTATAAAATAGGATTTAAAAAAATGGAATAGCATCTACTGGGATCTGAATGCTTTTCCTCAACCATCATTATCTACAGAAGATTAGATACGAAGCATTTGAGGCCATCTATTTGGTTGTGCAACCAAATTGGTGGCGAACCATATAGATAACACTGTTCTGCAAAAACATTAGACATTTTTCCTCATATTTATGTTTTCATATAAGCTGAGTTTGAATCTGAATTGGAAAAAATTCTAACAGGCACCATTTTTGAGAAAATGAAGGTTATTTTTGAAAAAAGAAAAAATAACACGATCTTTCCTACTTCATTTATTTTGTTGTGAGTAAAAATAATAATATTTAATCTTGAACATAATATAACTTTATAGTCCGTAGTACAGACCTCTTTTTATCGAGTTATTACCATCCGCCTGAAACTTTGTAAATAGTTTCATCTTATCGTAATCTACAAATATTTTATTTACGAAAACTCTTGGAATTGGAGCGTTTTCAATCTGAAGAGGGGCAAACTTTGTCTATTTAATTAGGTACTAAAAACTCGTAAATACCCATTACCTTTCCACTTGAATCGTTAGATAACTTGAGCACAAAGTCGGGAAAAAAGGTAGCCTTCAAAAATATTGAGCCGTTTGGCGTGAACTACACCCCAAAATTTTAAAAATAACGAGGTTATATTGGACAAACAGTCCAATATTTTTGTAGACCACATTTTTTATCGATTTTTTGATCCAATTATCTAACGATTCAAATGGAAAGCAATGGGTATTTACGAGTTTTTAGTATCTGATTAAATAGACAAATAAACAAAGTCACCCGTCTGATTGAAATTCCAATTCGCCCCAATTCCAAGAGTTTCCGTAAATTAAATAGTTGTATGTTACGATGAGATGAAACTATTTACAAAGATGTTAATAATTTGATAAAAAGGGGTCTGTAGCACGCACTATTACGCCTAGTCAATGTGTATACTTTTTCATGTTATAGTGTTTATAGTCTCCTATTGCAGTGTCCAACAGTAGTCAGGACAAGCATTTACTGGTAAAACTCTTAAACAATTGGACGATAACTTGATGAAACCGTTTTTCGTGCTCCAAATGAGAAATGAGAAGAAATCCAAATGAGAGTGCAAAAAATTAATTTTTAATGACATGTTATGTATAACCCATGACATGATAAAATAAATGCTATAACAATGTCTTTGTAATATGCAGCTCTTTTGTTGCCCATAAATCGTTGGCACTCGATTTCAAGCCAACTTTAACAGTTTCATTTAATGTAATTCTTTGAATTCCAGGTCCTTAAAAAGATGCCAAAAAAATTCTTGAAGTCTAATATTCGGGCTCTCGGAATTGTTTTTTGTTTTAATACATTGTAATAGCTTCAAAATCATTTTTTTCCATTTTTCATTGAAGTTTTCAATAATAAAAAAATTGAAAAACACCTCATTTTACTATCCATAACACAAATTTTACTTGGAATGGTACTTAATAGAGATTTTCTGCCTTTGGATTCGTGTTCAGCATATACCTCAAAACATAAAAAAACAGTTATGTTAAAGAGAGGATTTGATGCAGAAGAGTGGAATCATCTTTTTCATAAGTCACATCGCAGCGTTTATGACTATTCTAGATAATTGTTAAAATAATAAATTTATCCAGCATGTATTAATATCCGTAGATATTCAAAAGTAACAACAGTAATAATAACAATCTTGGTTTTTGTTGATACTTTAAAGTAAAAGAAAAAGTGATTCGAACATTTCCTACTTTAATTTTTTTTCCTCTGTACAATCCAAAATCCTTCGTTAAATCCTCAATGATCCCTACTTTGTCACAAATAAAATAATCCATAAAATCTTTAATGTACCGTATGTTTCCGATTTAGCTCAATCCAGGTACCTATCCTTCGTCCCAGAATAAAATTATTTTTCTATTCTATTCTATCCTTCCATAATAAACTTCTGAACCATCCGTTTCCATCCGTACCCTCTTGTTTCCAACCTTGCTTCCTCTTCAATTCCTGATGAGGGGTATCAGGAATTAAAGAGGAAGCAAGGTTCCTGATACCCCTCCAAGGCGTCTGAAAAAAAGATGGCCTCCGGACCTTCTAATATAGAAATATAATTGGAGTGCTACCTACCAATGGATGTTTTCTCAACAAGTGTTGTCACGTTATTACATCCTTATGTCCAGATTTACAAAATGTATTTCTTTAATACAGTTGTAAATATCATTAAGAAATAAAAAAAAAAAAAAGATTGTATGAATCGTTAATGTGCATCCTTTCATTTTGACTAGAGATTTTGTGAGATTTCGTGAGATTCATGTTGTACACGTTATGTTACTTGTTTCATATTTACTTCTAGTATTTATCATTTAATACAGTTGTAAATTTTAATAATAAAAATTTAAAAAAAAAATATATTTTTTTCCGAAAACATATTGGTAATTATTCCATAAATACATTTTCACAAAAAACACATTTTCTTATTTATTTTATATAGGTCAGAAAATAATTAATAAAATTATTATTATTGTTTTTAAGTAAAGCATGATGATTTCTTATCCAACAATTTTCTAAAGCATCGGTAGTACGAGTCGGATCGTTTCCATTTTATTTTATTTTATTTTATTTATTTTAACTATTTCCATATGACATAAAATTTTAGGCAGTTAAAAAAATTCTACCTGGAATAATTTCTAATATCTAATAAAAAAGATTTTTATTTTAATTAGCCCTCGCCCAGTATTCTTCGTCGTCAGGGATTTTCTTTAGCAAACAAATCATGGACTCAACATTACATGAAATATTTGTTTGTTTTCAATGTTTTACAGTTCATTGATAATACATATATTTTCGTAAGCTTGTGAAGTTTTTTCATCAATTTAAATTTAAAATTTGATCGTTCTGTCAAAACTGGATGATTAAAATAAATTCCAATAAATCCTATAAAATTACCTTTACCCTTCGTCGTAAAACTGTGACATCCTATCCTACAGTCTAAAAATACCCCAACAATATCCCAATCCTTTAACAATACTCCACTTATCCCTGTTGGCAAATCCGATACTTGGGACTCCACGTGGATCTTATAGTCTAAACAAGGATTAATCAAAGAGAGACGGTCAACTACCACAGAATAGTACAAACTACAAGGAGTTCTTGATAATCTGTACATGTAGATTGGATGATCTATATTGATGGTCAAAGGTTTTTTTTTAAAAACATATTAATTGAAATTTACAACTATATTACACGAAAAAAACAAGTTTTTTTAAATTTGTTTATTTAGAAATATTACATTCTGCCATAATCAAGGACATTTATAATAGTGTTCTGAGAGCACACTCACACTCTACGTAAAAATAAAAAAAATAAAAATACAAGTAAATATGAAATTAGTAATATGACTTGTACAAAATGATGAGAACTACCCATTGTAGTTCTATATTATATTATACATGATTATACATCTTATTTTCAGACGCCTAACGGAGTACTAAACCCCATTTACAAATTATACAACTATTAAATTAATTGTATTTTTGTAATTTTGTTGCTCAAATTTTATAATTGTAATTTACACGATTTCTGTAATTTAATTTAATATCCTGTAACAATCTGACCAGATTGTATTACTTTACATCAACATAAAATAAACTGAACGAAACCACTGAACAAATTTTCAATTTCATTATAAATCTGTATCATACATCACGCCTTATTGCCAATTTATATTATTATATATATTTAACTTGTCCAGCTTCATATAAGCCCAACAATAATTTCAGCCTTTTACTTCTAATATTTTCATTGTTATATTGTGCTACCTAGTCTATTTCATAATTTTTATAATTATATCACAATATAATTATAAATAATATTATATTCCATATTATAATTAATGTATTAACTGAGAAATGTCTAGATCGAAAAATAACTGCTGTCGCCTAGGTAACATCAAACTACCACCTCCAGATGAACGGCATATTCCGCACAAATTTTTAGCCTAAAATTTTTATTTTGTATTAGGAGAACAAGAGGTTACAGGGGCTCAACACATATGTAATTAAATGAACAGCTGTATAATTATTGCTAATTATAGAGTTCATATAATCTTCTACTCTCTTAATACTTTAATAAAATCAAAAATGATGGTCACTAAAAACTTGTTTCTATGAAAGAGAGATATAAGATACCTTGGTCAATATATGAGAAAAAAAATATTATGAGAATATATGCAGAGAATGGCCTGAGTCAAGAGGTAAGATCTAATCCGTGATGCATTAGACATAAGAGGAGGTGGAGGAGAGGAGAGATAAGGCGATCAATAATGGACAATAAAGGGGGACTTATTAAGTCCAACTGTGGGACCTAAGACGCAAGGACTTACCTACAAGTTGGGACCAGGGCCATGCATAATGTCCATTACCGCTCTAAGCCGGAGCAGTCATATTAATTATCTCGGGGATGTGGTGGTCCCTCCAGTCTTCCTTTGTCCTCCAGCTTCCAGGTCGCAAGCCTTGCTTAGTTCCAGCCCCCACTTAGTTATCCTTCTTGTTAGCTTAGGCTCATGTTGACGCTAGAGTGTAGATTTTGCTTGCAGGCAGCAAATTATTTATATTGTTTTAAAATATTATATTATTATTTAAAATAATTTTATTTCAAATTTAAAAGGTCAATAAATCTTACTTCAATGAAATTACCATAAAAAATAAGAAAGTTTACAGGTGTGTGGATGTGAATGTGCAAGCGCATATATTTTTTATATTTTAATAAAATATATTATCTTTTGACGATATATATAGTCAGTACGAAATAAGATTTTCTTGTTGTGATTATTAAGATTAATTTAAGGATTAATTAAAGACTGTGTTTTTGGCGATATGAAGACACACATCGTCCTGAAGCAAAATTACGTCTTTTGAAAGCTAACCAAGTCTTTTAGATTTTATTTTTGAGTTCAATAAAAGAAGTAAATGTATGCATGGCGAACCTAATGTTTGCTGATGACCAAGCAATCATAATCCAGGATAGAGAGGACATCAATTATATGTTCAGAAAGATTGTCGAGACCATGAAGTGAATTGTCGATATTTAATCGAGAAAGCACATTCACCAATGATATCGACAGAAGAATCGGTGAAGGAAGAAAGGTCACCGTAATACTCAACAGTATACTTTGGAACTCCAATATACAGCTCTGTACAAAGAGGATAATATACAAGGCTATATTCGAGACAATAACATATGCCTCCGAGTTATTAATGCAAGATACCAATAAAGACTGTTGAGAGGTGGAAGAAGGGCAGCAAAAATATCCAGAAGGGAAAAAATAAAAAATGAAAGAATTCTGGAAATGATGGAGATGGAAAGAAGCATTATGGCAAATATTAAAAAGAAAAGGTTATGCTGGTTTGATTATGTGAAAAGAATGACGCCTGAAAGATTTCCAAAGATATGTATGGAACTGGAAGTAGAAATGAGAAGGAAAAAGGAAGGTTAAAAAATAACAAGCCTTAGATAGAGAAGAATGGAATAATATCTTAAAGGATATTCAGGCCCAGGATAACCAAAGTATTGGAAAAGGGTTTAATAAAAATAAATAAAAAGAAGTAGTCCACATTAGCTGTCACTATTTATTGTTTGACCTTTAGTTTTGAAGTTAGCCAAAATTGTACGTTCCGTATCATATAATATTGTCATGACCATTCCTGCAGACATCTGAGTTAAGAACGTTTTTGCTATGGAAGATGAAGGATGTTTCTACACCAAACTTTGTTGCTTACCCTATGGTTCAATATAATGGACCTATGTTATAATCACGCACACACACACACACACACACACACACACACACACACACGTGTTATTTATTATAAATTATAAATACATTTTTAGTGAATAATTCTTAAAATTGACAAAAATTATATGAGCTGCTGGAGAATTTTATCAGGGCCATGCTGTCGACTAAGCCTCCTTTTCTGTTTGCTGACGTTTCGGCCTAAGGTTTAGGTTTAGGTTCATCAGAGCGAAAGGAAGTACAAATGATATAATAACTGGTGATTACCGAGATATTAGAAATAATATTGGTTGGCAATTTACAAACTGTTTATTATGATAATAAATTTCAAACAGCCGACAATTATAAAATGATCAATCTGGGTAATTTGATAACAGAAAATATTTTTATTTTAGTTACAAAAAAAATTTGTCTTTACAAAGTTCAACATTCAAAGAATGAGAAAATAAAATTTTGATATTATTCCAAAGAAAAACTTATAATAATTGGGAAGAAAATAACATTATTTCTTATTTTTTACTTTGTTTACTCTCTGACTATCAACATTTACAATACTTTTTTTCGTTTTTTTTTTCTAAAAAAATAAAAAAACATCTATCAAGGATTTCATAATATAACATCTTGATGAAAGAACTATTAAGCGAATATTTCATAAATATTATATTGGAAAAGTGCCAGTCAATGCGTCTTGATTATTCGTTGCTCTTGACTTCGGATTGAAGAGGTAGTTTTCTTGAAATTGAATAAGCTCTCATAACCAATGATTAAAAAAATAATTGAAATTAAAAAACATTTATGATGCCTGATTAAAAATGTGATGGAAAAATTTAAACTTTACAGCCATTTAAGTTTTTTTAACATCTTTTAAGCTTGATCAGGATAATCTAGACGTTACTTCATTATAACGATAGTCTTGTTATTCCTCAATTCACACTATATTTATATTCAGTTTACTTGGTATCCATATTTATTTTAATTTTAAAATGCAATAATTCAATAGGAGTGATAACTGATATAGGACTGTGTGACGAGGACTTTTCCAAGAAATTTGGATACAAATTAAGGAATGAGCAGGATTGTGTGGTCCTCACAGGTTTCGCGGATGACCAGGCAGTGTCGGTGCGTGACAAGGGGGCTGCAGAAAGAGTGATTGACAGCATACAAAGAACATTTAAAGAAATTGGTCTGGCTATAAATCCTCAAAAAAGTATGGACATCGTTATGAATAAAGGAGAGCTGGAAACGACGGTGCTCTCCCTTGAGAATGGTGAGTACATCCAAACATTGAAGAATGGAGATACGATTAAGTATTTAGGATGTACATTCTCGGGAGAGCTGCAATTCAACGAAGATTCGGTGACTAAATTGAATGATAATCTAAACAAGCTGGTAACCTCTTGCTTACTTAAACCTGAGCAGAAGCTCAACATTGTCAATCAATATCTGTTCCCGGGTCTTACTTACCCTCTCCAAACTGCGCCCCTAACAAAGCTACGTCCTGCTATCCTGGAGGGCATCGACACTATGATTCGCAGGAGCGTAAAGGCCATTATTGGACTCCCTGCGAATACTTCCACAGCGATGTTATATGCCCCCAGGAGATACCGAGGATTGGGATTAATCCGCTGCCAATGGGAGGCTCCTCTTCAACATTGGTCCATTGCTCAGCGACTGTCCAATGTACCAGATGCCCTTTTTCAGTCTATCTTCGATTATTCGGCTGAAATTGCTGAATGTACCGAGAGATTGGGGGTTGATCAGGGTCATCGAAATGTGAAAGCTCTACGGCAGTCGCTACGAGAAAATGCATTTGAGGAATGGGCCAACTGCAGGTGGCAGGGTATTGGTGTTCGCCATTTTAAAGAGACCCCGAAAGCGAATAGATACATCTACGAAAAGCAAGTACTTTCTGGGTCTGAATGGTCGAATGCCCTAAAACTAAACATCAATTATGCACCCCTGCGTGGAGTCCCAGGAGTCAGCGGACAGGTCAGAGAAGTTGGGTCCCTCTGCCGTAAATGCGGCAGAGAGTCTGAAACACCAGCCCATGTGCTGGGAAAATGCCCCAACAACTCCCTCCTCATAACACGTCGTCACCACCGGGTCAAGTTCGAGTTGATGAGGCTCCTTAGGGAAAAAAAATTCACCTGCTTTGACGAGGTATATTGCATCGATAGTGAAGGCTCTACGAGATACGCTGATATCGTCGCATTTCCCAAGACAGGAAGGACAGCGCTGATCTTGGATCCAACTGTCCGCTTTGAGAGCAATGACCTCGATCAGGCGGGTGAAGTGGAAAGGGAAAAGAAGAACACGTACGATAAATGTATCCCTTTCCTAAAAGAGAAATTCCGTGAGACCTTCGGAGAGAGAGAGTTCACCGTGAGAGGCCTCTGGTTTGGGTCTCGCGGAACTATCCCAAAAAGAACAAGGAGCTTCCTCGAGGAACTAGGTGTCGACATTAAGGACGTAGCGAGGTTGGCTGAAAATATAGTCCTCGACTCCCTGGGAATCATTCACCACCACGTGCATGGCTAGCCCGAGAGTTTTAATTTATGTATTTGTTTATTTATTTATTTAGTGAATAATTGAAAACAACAGAGATAAAGAGAGAGAAGTGAGAGAAAGGGAAACTTAATGTTAAATAAAAAAACAAAAAAAAAAAAGCATGAACAATGAGAAGAAGGAAAAAGGAAAAAAAAAAAAAATTATAAAAATAAATAAAATAATAAAAATGTATATATATATATTTCTATTTTACTAATATTAACTAATACTTCTGTATATTTATATATAAGTTCATATATTGTCTTAGGGATAGAAGAGTATGCTGTGTATATAGCAACCCAATATAATTGGGCAGCAATCCTTTATATTTTATATTTTATGAAAATAAAGTGTTTCTCTCTTCAAGACACAAGTCATTATAAACTTTTTATTGGTGCATATGTTTCAAACCAAAACATGTGGTTCATCATCAGGGCGTGGTTCGAGCACTGAAGGTATTCAAGTGGTCGGCAAACGTCGGCACCATTAAAAACTTTATATTGACTGCATCCTGAATATTTATCACCCATGATATGTAGAACAGTCGATAAACTTCCTTCAATATTATTTTTCATGTATTTGGTAATCTTTCTAGGGATTAATCTTCCACTGGATGTCGTTCTTAAACTCAGCATAAATAGTTCTATAAATGAAATGCATGAATGGAATCAGAGTTTAGGAGTTTGCCCCTTGTGATATGTGATATATCTGAAAAACTTTAATTTCTTTAAAATTGAAAAACAATGAGGTTCTAGTCTGCGGTAAAGTCGGTAAAGTCTGTGGTTGTCAAATTAATATCCGCCCAACACATCTTGTTGTTGTAAACGACTTTTTTCCTACGATAATTCTCAGGTATTAAAAACTCATGAAAACCGATCTGCTTTAAAATTGAACCGTAATATAATTTTATTATAAAATCGAAAAAAAAGGAGCTCAAAAAATATTGGGCTATCTAACCTTGTTATTTTGACAAGCCGAATGGCTCAGTATTTTTGTATGTCACATTTTTTCTCGATTTTGAGATCATGTTGGAAAACAAATGAGTGTTTAGTTCTCATGAAATAGATTAAGTTTACTGATCTCTAGATTAAAAACGCTCTATTTCGGAGAATTTTCGCAAACCAAAAGTCGTAGATTAAGATAAGATTATACATCATTCACAAATATTTAGACGGATGTTAAAAACTAGATAAAATGGGGTCTGTACCTCGGACTATCCGTGAGTTTGGCATTAACGAAGGTATAAGTTTAACCTTTAGCTGAATAATTTGGGGTTCCTTAACTTATATGAAAATGAATTAAGTAAATATTATTATGACTGAATTTGTTATATATATATATATATATATATATATATATATATATATATATATATATATATATATATATATGTATATTTCCACAAATCGGCCTCATTTCAACACTAATTTATTGTCCGTTCCACCACCTTTTGGAATTCCATCCCACTTAAAATTCGCCATGAACCATCCTTAGGATTTAGATTATATATGACTTGTATAAGGTTTACAATACTATTATTGTATTCATTGAACATATTAAGGTACATATGTAAATCATTTAAAGTAAATATTAACCCACTCTTTTATTATTATGTTTTTCATTAATACAATGGTATGACAAAAAAAGTAATTTGTCGCTCATTTCAAATTTCATTTAGAATTGCATAGTTTATTGTTTATAGCAAATATTTTGCAGTATTAGGAACTCATTGCTCATATTATATATTTAATATATCTGTATAGTTATGTAAATACTTCTTTTATTACTTCTTTTTTAGTTTTTTTTTTGTTTCTTTTTTATTGTAATATGCATTTTGGATAGATGTTATGTCAATTTTTATGTACAATATTGTTATTCTCAAGGGGCTTTGTCCCAGAATAAAGTTGATTCTTCTATTATATATATATATGTAAACAATTTTTTTTTTTTGACATATGTAAGTGACTCTAGATCAGTCCCCCATCATACTTTTGTTTAGTAGATAACTTCCCTGAAAGTAGTTCCAATGAAGGAAAAATCCTCGATCTGGACGAAAATAAATGTCGGCTATTCAAGCTCGTTAGAAATAAGGAAGTCCATCGGCCTGGAAAACGAGAAAAGCAGGATGGACACTTTCCAAGTTGGGAGCTGGAGGAAGTTGCGGCAAGTAGAGACGGAAAGTGTACGGTGTTGATGGTGCATTAGCGATTTGTTAAAGTTGAACAGCGAGCTGACCTGGGCATTATTGATTGAGGAGGTCCTGAATCCTTGATTCCTATTGGTCCCTCGGGCTTTGTTATAATTATCGTGTAAAGTCAAGTTGCGGCTGAAGGGCTATTTTGTGTTATTACAGGTAAGCGGAGAGTGGAAGTTTGGACCGGCTCCGTCTTATCCATCGATTCCACCGCTCCCGCCCCTAATTCAATTTGAAGTCCCTCTGACAGCCGTTAATTACTCTCCTCTATACTCATCTGTCGGCCATTATAAATGGATTTATACATAAATATAAATATATATATATATATATATATATATATATATATATATATATATATATATATATATATATATTGAGATGAATCAACATCTCACTACAATAAAGAAAAAGTTTAAACAAAGAAATGATGTCTTAGACGTTATTATTATAGAAATACGTTCACATTTTATGAACTAATAAAGGAGCAACTGGAAACAATATGAGTACGCGTTATATTTTATGATCTTTTCTCCACTCGTTTTTCGGACAACACGACAGCAAATTGGAGTCCTTGAATATGTTCACTATTTTTTTATTGAGACCATTATTATTTTTCATATTACAATCAGGGTATAATATTAAGTAGTTTAAGTTGCACGGAAGATTTATATTATATTAAATTTAAATTTATAATATATTAAATAATTTTTTTTTGTCTAGTTCATTCAATGTCAAATTATTGTCTCGTTGATCATTGTTAATTTCATTTTAAAAGTTTTATATTCATTTTTGTGTAGAATTATTTTATTTATTTAAAAATAATTTTCAAAATGCGTTGTATTTTGGTCCCATAAGACATTGTTAATAATTAACATTTATTTACTATTAGATATTTTTAACATTTTGAGGTACCTACATTATTTTTATTTCCTATATATTAGGCATTACTATATATATATATTGAGATGAATCAACATCTTACTACAACAAAGAAAAAATTTAGACAAAGAAATGATGCTTTAGACGTCATCATTATAGAAATACGTTAACATTTTATATCTCAAAAAGCAGCTATTAGAAACACTATGAGTAAGCGTTACATTTTAACATCTTTTTTTCACTCTTTTCTCGGACAACACGAAAGAAATTGGAGTCCTTAGATATGTTCATTTTTTTTTTTTATAGAGACTATTATTTTTTTCATATTACAATGAGGGTGTAATTTTAAGTGGTTTAAGTTGCAGGGAGGATTTATATTATATTAAATTTAAATTTATAATATATTAAATTAATTTTTTTTTTGTCAAGTTCATTCAGTTTCAAATTATTGTCTGGATGACAATTTTTTTTTTTTTTTTATGTAATAAAGGCTTAAACCACTATGGTCATTATTGCCTTATTTCCATTCAGAATTAGGTTCTATTTTCAAGTTTTGATCATTAGAGAAAAGAAAATAATTTGTCAATTTTCTTTGTATTGTGCTGTAAAATGATGTTTAGATCGTTTGTCAAGTCATAAGATATTCTAAATGTTGTGCATTCTGTTAAAATGTGTTTCACTGTCAGAGGAGTACCACAAGTTTGGCATGTTGGCGAAGAATCACGGACTATCAGGAATCCATAAGTAAGGCGTGTATGACCTATACGCAAGGCTCAAGTAAGAATTACTTCCTCTAAGCGGTTATTCCTATTTGACGATGACCAAGAAGGAAGCGTCATACTTAACCTCCCTCAATGTATTTTCGGTTACATTCGACCATATCTGTTCCCATTTTGTCTTTATTTTATGTTTGATGATGGTTATAAAATCCTCGACAGATAATCCTCGATAAGGTATTCCATCAGTAATGGCTTTTTTGGCGCTGGTCATTGTTAATTTCATTATAAAAGTTTTAAATTCATTTTGTTGTAGAATTATTTAATTTATTTAGAAATAATTTTGCATATGCGTTGTCTTTTGGTCCCGTAAAACATTATTAATAATTATCAGTTACTTGCTAATAGATATTTTGAAGATTTTGAATTTGATATATCGATTTTTTTTCATTTCTAATATAAGAGACAGACATTACTATTTATATATCACATCTTTATGACGAGTTAAACTGGCGTATCTCATCTTTCGGCCAACAGCATTGTATCGTACCTATTCCAAACGATCAACACCCGGGCATCCCCCAAGCATATAAAGTTTCCTACAATGCCGTAGTGTACCCACAGAATACCAATTCTGTTTTTCTGACCTCTATTGTATAAGTATATAGATATAGATAACTGTAAGATAACAGAAAAATGAGTTTGACTGCTCTGATGTTAAAAATATTATTCTTACATATATTCGGAACATTGATTGAGATTGAGGTTGAAAAATAAATGGTGTTTAAATGAGGTTAAGGATGAAGAAGAATTTACTTATGGAGGTAGGTAAGAAATTCCAATACAATATAGCACGTATGAATGTTTTACAGAAAACAGTTTTATGAGATAGAATAATTAGTTTTGACTTTTGACTTTCGTGTCGAATGGACAAAGGAGATAATCCTATCAAATAACCTTTGAAGAACTAAGGGCTAAGTTACTGAGGGAAACTGGTCTCTACATTCTCACAGAAAACGATTTTCCTCAGTTAGTCACTGCGGAAAACAACCCGGACTACAAAGATTTTGTGTACGGGTGGAAAGTCGAGGTGGGGCCAGCCCATTTCAATTTAAGAAGAGGAGGAAGAGGTACTATACGATTGGCGTGAAACGGATGAGAAAAGCAACCATGAAGAAAGGGGAAAAAATGAAGAAAGAGCAGAAGGACAAGATTTATTTGCAGCAGTGAGATGTTAAGTTGACCTGCCTAACATCTTACTATTGCAGACACCCGTATTGGCTACTAGGCACGGCAGGGTTTTAAATAAATAATACATATCAAAAAGTTAAAAGGGAATTTCGGTTACAAATATTCAGAAAAGAATTACAGTCCGAAAACTGGATAGAACCACTTCAAATTTGTATAACTAGTTACTTGTGATATATACATGGTTATAAATATATGTGTGTAAGCTGTATCTGTGAATTAATGAGTGTGTACAAACCGCTAAAGACGCTCGTTGTCATTTGTCAGCACCAACCAGCGGGAACACTTTAATGAGGAAGAGATTGAGAAGGCTGAGGATCATTCGTCCTCGGTATCCCAGGTGCGAGGAGACTAGAAGATCGGGGCCTAACAAATCGTAGGCGATTTGCTACCCGCGCCCCCCCTTTCTTTGAGAGAGCCCCCAACAAATTAAAGCGGGGCCCCGAAGGACTATCTAAATTTAAATGAAATCCCTCCAAGACGAGCTATCGATCGGCGGCTCCCTGACCGCCTTGAGAAATGGTTTGAGGTGGGGGAGTTTCGAGAAATGTATTAATTGCTGAGCCCCTCACTCCCCCCCCCTCCCAGGTCCTTAGATTGCAATATCTTGACCTGCTTCGGCCTCCCCTCCCCGCGTTTTGTTGTTTCAATTCCCTCAATTTCACCTAAACCCAACTTCGAAACCAATTCAGCCGAACCGAATGGACTTAGCCATAGAAATCGGGCAAATTAGCGGTCGAAGCCGTTCATAGCTCACTTATTGATGCAAAGTCACTCCTTCCCTTAATAAATCATTCCTTGCCGTTCATATATAGAGCTAATACCGGGTGGTGCATTTGGGAATGTAAGATCAATTCAAAATGATTGGAATATAGCATTCGTTTGATTTTCAATATTGAAACCCACTTAAGATTTATAAAAATATCTGAGTAATTATACGTCATTAGCGCTGCTGCTCATCCACCAATGGTTTTTAACACTGGTGAGGAGATGAGAAAGAAACCTGCTCTTATATAACGTTGTGTATATATTTTCCTAATTCACAGTTGTTAATTTCATAATGATAGAGAAATTATAAGTATGTCTGTGCATATACAGTCATTATTTTAATTTACTTTTTTTTTCTCTTCATGATCTTTTATTTTGTTCTTATTTCTATGAATTATTATTATTTATTATTACTTGATTTATTTATTCATGTTTTCTGTGAATATGATTTCAATGCGCTCTCTGATCTCTATTATATATGTCCATAATTGAGACAGAATATAATATTTCTCTTAAAACTAACAACTTAAAAAAATAATGGCTATAAATGGAGACTGTAGAGAAATGGTAGACTGTATATAATATGGTTGAAAATTGGGGTTATAGTGGATTATGAAAATAAAAATTTAAAAAAAATACTTTATTTTGTGCCAATGTTTCGGTCTAAGTTTTAAGAATTTCTGAGTAAAAACATCACAATAACCAAACAAAAAACACCAAAAAAATATTATGAAAAGGTATAAAAACAAAAATAATTTGTATCCTCGAATTTACATATTATCTTAGAACATATTTATTAGCAGATAATATATATTTTTCGTTTTCATATCTTTTCATTATTAAAGTGTTACTATAGCGTGTTCATGTATCTTATTCATCGATTTACATTTACTAGATGTAGCATGTCTTTGTTACTAGTAATATGAATACATGTAAATAAGTTCCTAAACTCAGTACTGAGCTATATCGTCGTAAAACTATCAAAATGTGTCTAAACTTATCGATGGGATCCAGCGCATTCTTTTATTCAACGATTGAATCAGCGATTACTCAGCCGCACCGTCGGTTTCTAGAGCCAACGGATTCGCTGGATGTAACTATATGATAGCCTTAGTGTTGTTATTTCCACATTAAAATTACATATTTTATTAAGCACACTTTCTATCTATATTTACTTATTGTATCAAATTCAACAAATCAGTAGGTACCAAATTGTTCATCTTCTGCTAGAACCGAGCACGTTGTTCCTAAACTCAGCTGAAATTGCTTTCCATCGGTCCTGGATTCTAACGATTAATGGACTCAAGCCATAAAATTAACGCCAAATTTAGCAACTTGCCCAACATGCATTCTATGATACAATTTGATAATTAAGTAAATGAAAAATATTTTCTTTA